GTCAAATCCCATCCTCTGCTCCCAAAGCCAACCATGGCTTTGTCTTTAACACAATTACAACACCCTATTAACGTTCCTAGCCCCCTCCATCATCTCCCACAGCTGGCCTTCGGTGGTTCTGGCCACTCCCACTGCGGTTCTGGAGGAGTAGCCAGTGAATTAACCACCACTCTATCACCCTTCCCTGCTCCTTTCACGTGCTGATGGGAAACTGGGAGTAGCACAGAATAAGCAAGCGTGGATAGGCTGACAGCAGACTTTCCTTCCGCCTCAAACCAACCCTTCTTCCAAATTTCTCTGCTTCTGTCAATACCACCGGCCATCCTTATAGTCTCCCAGGTTCTCAGCCTTCTCCTTCTCCTTGATGCCTCACTCAAGGAAAGCGCCCTCTCCAGAGTCACCAACAATCTCTTAACTGCCAGATCTGCTGGCCTTTTCCCAGGCCTCATCCTTCTTGATCTCTGCAGCATCTGCCACTACTGGACCACCCTCTCCTCTCTGTCTTTGGGGCACTCCTCTCTCTTGGTTCTCCTCCTGGTCAGGGTGCTCCTTCCCAGCTCCCTTTCTGGTCATCATTCAGATCAGGCCTAACTGTGGGTGAGGATGCCCCAAGGCTTGGTCTAGGGCCCTCTCTTCTCTTCTCTCTATGCTTTCTCACGTGGTGACTTTGGAAGGAAGGAAGCGAGGAAGAAAAGAAGGAAGGGAGGGAGGAATGAACAAAGCAAATAAGGAAGTGAGGGAGGAAGGGAAGGAAGGAAACAAGTATTTACCATGCACCTACCATATGCCAAGCACTGTGCCAAGTGCTTTACAAATATTACCTCATTCGATCCTCACAACAACCCTGCAAGGTAAGTGCTATGATCCCTCTTTTACAGTTGAGGAAAATGAGGCAAACAGAGGTTAAATGACTTGTCCAGCTAGTAAGTTTATGAGGCCAAATTTGAACTTGGGTCTTCCTGACTCCAGGCCCAGGGCTCTATCCCAGATCTTTCTCTTCAACACCAATCCCACAATACAAATGGCCTGTTGGACATTTTGAACCAGATATCCCACAATCATTTTAAATCAACATGACCAAAGCAGAACTAATTCTCTTCCCCCATAAAGCTATCATTTTTCCAAATTCCCCTATCTCCGTTGAGCACACCACCACCCATCTCGTCATCCAGGTTCTCAGTCTTAGCGGTGTCCTTGACTCCTCACTTCCGCTCACCCCATGTATCCAGTCATTGGCCAAATTCTGTCATATCTTCGTCTACAGGATCTCTCGAACTGGTGCCCCCTCGCCCACAAGGCATCCACTGCCCTGGTTCAGGGAGTCATCACGTCTCTTCCAGACCATCACAACCGTCTCCTAACTGGTCTCTGCCTCCTGTCTCCCCTCTTCAGCTGTCTTCTAGGCAGCTGCTAAAATGATTTTCCAAAAGTACAGGTCTGACAGAGTCCCTCCCCTACTCTGTAAACTGCAATGGCTCCCCAGTGACTCTAGGATCAAATATTATTTCATGTCTACCTCATCCTTTTTAAAAATTTCTAGTTTTATGTAAATTTTATAATATATATAATTAATAGCACATGTACATAGTAATATAGTAGTACAATAATTTATAAATAAATGCACATATAATGGGAGGCGGGGAATGGCATGCAAAAAATGTTTTACTGATCATGGCACTCAATCAAAAAAGATTAGAAACCACTATATAAGAGGATAGATTTTTTTTCTAGCAACTCATGAAACTGTTAAGTGACCTGCCACTCTAGGGTATCTGATATCACAGATCCTTAAAGGCACCTAGGTGGCTAAGTGGATAGAGCTCTGGGCCTGAAGTCAGGAAGACCTGAGTTCAAATGTGGCCTCAGACACTTACTAGCTATGTGACCTTGGACAAGTCACTTAACCTCTGTCTGCCTCAATTTCCCAACTCTGTTAAAAAAAATTGGAGATAATAACAGCACCTACCTACAGGGTTATTGTGAGGACCAAGCAAGAAGCGCCAAAGCTCCCAGATTCCAAGAGTTTTGATGAACTCTGTAACTATGTGGTACAGTGGATAAAGTGCTAGGCCTGGAGTCAGGAAGACCTGAGTTCAAATCTTGCCACAGACATTTACTAGCTGTGTGACCCTGGGCAAGTCACTTCACATCTGTTTGCCTCAGTATCCTCCACTGTAAAATGGGGACAATAATAACTTCCCCGGGTTGTTGTGAGGATCAAATGTGATTCCTGTAAAGTGGTTGCCACAGTGCCTGGCACACAGCAGGTGCTAAATAAATGCTCATTTCCCTTGTCCTCCCCCAAAGAAGTTCTTATGGTATAACCAACATATCAATAATGTGGAAGGAAGACTTTATGCCTCAAGGGACCTCATTTTCTTCACCTGTACAACAAAGGGGCTGGCGGGAGTGATTTCCAGGGTCTCCGTCCTACATGGAGGGGGTAGCACGCACAGGGACATCAGAGTTCCCCAAGCAGCAGAGCAGCCATGTGCAACTGCACAGGGGACACTGGGCTGGAATCTCGGTTGTGCTAAATATTTAGTACCTGTGTAACCTTGAGAAAAATCACTTCATCTCTCTGGGTGTCCTTTTCCCCTTCTGTCAAAGGGCAGGGGAGGAGGAGAGGAGGATCTCTAAGCTCCCTTCCAGCTTCTGAATCTAAGGACAACGCCTGCTGTCCCGCTCCTTCCTCTTGGCACCTGTCACTCCCTGGGACACGCCATTGGGTCCATCACTGGCCAAGGGGCTGCGCGGTCAAAACCCTGTTTCTCTACATCTACTAACTTTGCTCTCCCCACAGGGACGCTAGGGAGGGTGGCACCCTCCTCTCTTTCTGGCTCTGGTCACTGATGTTTGACAGATGACATGCTGGTGATGGTAGGCAGGCTGGTGGCATCCGCTGGCATTCAAATGGGAAAACTCAGCTTCTCGGAACTTTCCTGGCTGGCACTTATGACATCACTGTGCCCTCTCAGCAGCCCTCCTCCCCCACCTCAGGGTGGGTGCCATCCAGGTCAAGTGGACAAGGTTGGCTCAAGATCAGCTTTCAGATGCCCCTGCTGGACACCAGACACATGGGGCCTTCGGTAAGAAGGTCCTCGTCTGCTTTCTAAATCTATGGAACCCAACAGAGAAGCAGTGTGGTGGAGTGGGATAGAGGTACTGCAGATAATCAGCTGACTGATGGCTCAGAGATCAGAGCCTGGCCTGGAATCCAGAAGACCAGACGTCTCAGTTTCCTCACCTGTAAATGAGGATCATAACATCCCCTACCTCCCAGGATTATTGTGAGATAATACTTGTAAAAGTGCCTGGCACACAGTGGGAACTCTGTAAGTGTTAGCCATCATCATCAATATTAAAGTTCCACCTCACTCGGCGGCCCCTCCGCCAGAGGTCATCTGGATAAAGCTGCAGAAAAGGCAATGATTTGCACTGGCAGAAGGAATTCCCTCATCCCTAGAAGGATGAAATCTCTTCAGTGCAATCTCTGTCTCTACAACTGATGACCCTGGGCTCTCAAAGATGGCGCCAGCCGAGCCCCAAGTTCTGGTAGGTCTTGTGTATCTAATCAGAAAGGCTTCAGGTAAGAAGGAACTAATTCTACACTAAGTGTATGTCAGCTGAAGCCTGGGTGCTGAGAGGCTTCTCACCAAAAGCCTGGGCGCAACTTGTTTTGGGTTGGGGTTTTTTGGGGGGTGCAGGGGCAGAAGGAAGAGCCACTAATCACATTTATCTACCAAGGTGTGGAGGAGCTGAGATCTGTTTCAACGAAGAGTCACACCTCCGCTCCTTATGCAGAATCCAGATTATATACCCTCTTGAATAACTCAGCTCCCTTTTTTGGGACTGAGTTTCTTCTTTCGTAAAACGAAAGGCTTGGATTCGATGGTCTCTAAGATTCTTTCCAGCTCTGGGACTACAGACAAGCCCCTTTACTTCTCAGAAATGGCACTAATATTTCCTGTTACCTAACGAGGCTGTTTTGAGAAATACGCCTTATTAAGTAAGCAGAGAGAGAACGCTACAGGGACAGGAGTGATGGGCGCCATCACTTCCTTCCGGCTCTGAAATACCAGGCTCTGCATCCCAAGATCTCTTTCTCTCTGTCATTCCATGCTCTACATTCCAAGGTCTTTTCCACGCTTAGATTGTTTGAGTCCCTGCACCCCGTACATGAAGTCATAGATGTTCCAAAGTATATTTCCAAGACAGCATAGTGGGGTTATTATCCTACTTATTCACAAGCCCTATAATCTTGGGCAAATTCCTCCTCTCTTGGAGCCTCAGTTTCCTCATCTATAAAACAACCTTGTGAGGGAGGTTGTGCCAGCATTATTATCCTCATTTTACAGATGAGGAAACAGAGGCTCATCAGAAAGTGAGGTGGAAAGACCTGGGTTCGAATCCCAGCTCTGATACTTTAACCCCTCCCAAGCCTCAGTTTCTTTGTGTGTAAAAGGAAGGGGTTGACCTAATTACTCTCTGAGGGTTCTCTCAGCTCTCAAATCTATCCACCTACAAGATGTAATGGTGATCCAGGAGGCATGAGCCAGGGAGATGTTTTCAGAGACACCTGCAAGCCTTGTACAAAATAACACCGAGAAATAATACAGAGCAGAACCAAAACAATTCACACAGTGACCACAACACCATGAAGACAAACAACATTAGAAGACCTAAGAACTCTCATTAATGCAATGGCCAGCCATGATTCGGAGGACCAATGATAAGGCATGTTACCCACCTCCTGGTAGAGATGTAATGGACACACAGTACAGAAGGAGACCTAGTTTTCAGACGTGGCCAATACAAGAAAATGTTTAGCTGAACTATGTGTTCAGCTTTTAGTTTTGTTTTTCTCTCTTCTTTTTCCCCAAAATGGTGGAGAGGAGAAATGAGAGGATGAGAAAATCAGTTCTTGTTCAATGAAAAAAGTATTTTTTTAATAATTTTTTTTTTTTTTAAAGAAGGTGATGTTGGGAAATGGGACAAACCTGGAGGCAGTGCTCATGCGGATATCATCCAGAGAGCAGTTGGGCAGGGCTGTGTAGGACTTCAAGAGCACAGGGCCAGACACAGATTCTGCAACTGCAGCACGCACAGTATGCTCATCAGACATGCCTCCTACAAAAAGAAGTTTTCTAAGATGAGCACGGAGGTCTGTCTCAAGGTCAATGGTCCAGGCATGCAGAAGTTCAGTGGTGAATGTGGTTCATTCGGCTCTTCACAAACTCAACAGGCCCTGAAACACTTGAGAACGTTGACTGAACTCGTAAATGCTTGTCCGGGACTCTGGGTCATCCATGGGGGAAAGTGATGAAACTTTTGAGCAAAGAAGAAAATAATCATGTGCACAGAACACTTTCACAACATCATCTCACTTGAACCTGACAACAATCCCTTGAGATATGTACCATGGACGTTATCCTGACTTTACAGAAAGGGAAACTGAGCTTTGGAGAATGTCACAAGATCTAGCTCCAGAGCCAGAAAGGAGGTCAAAGGCCGTCAAGCAGAACCAATTCATTTTACAGATAGGACGCTGAAGCCCATGGAGGCTGAGTAACTTGCCCAAGGTTACACAGGTAGTAAGCATCAGAGGCAAGATCCGAACCCAGCTCCTCTGACTCCAAAGCCAGCTTTTCCTACCATGGCCACGTGTGAGAAGCCAGGACACATCAGAAGTAGGATTTGAACTCAGGTCTTCCTCCCTCTACTATACAATGTTGCCTCTCTGTTTCAAACAAAATATAAAAATTAAGCCTATTTTCATGCCAAAATAAAACTTGAAAAGATGGATTTTTTTCATCAATAATACTTCAGATGGGGGCAGATACCGCACAGTGGATAGAGCACCAGACCTGGAGTCAGGAAGACCTGAGTTCAAACCCAGCCTCTGGCACTACCTAGCTGTGTGACCCTAGACAAGTCACTTAACCCTTTTTGCCTCAGTTTCCTCATTTGTAAAATGAGCTGAAGAAGAAAATGGCAAACCACTCCAGCATCTCTACCAAGAAAATCCCAAATGGGGTCACAAACTCAGACATGACTGAAAAATGACTCAACAACAATACTTTAGCTAGAAAAATCTCTCTGGCATCAAAGGCACAATGTGTGGAACAGCAGAGTTCTACGGGACACAGCTGAAGAAACATTGGCCTAGATTCTCTCCTCTAATTAGGTAAGGGGTCTATGCGTTGAACAGAATGTCTCTCCTTTGCACTAATGTCCAAGAAAATGGGATATGGTTGTTCTTTTCAATGCTTTCCACCCCCAGGACTCCACGGCATCAGGTCAGTCCTCAACACAGGCTGGCCTGCCTGCCTCCCTCTCCCCACTATGCCGAGAAACATCCACTGGACTTTAAGCTCCCCGTGGGTAAGGAATCATATCTTTCAAAGATTCAAGTCAAGAAATATTCATTAAGTGCCTTACTGTTGTTGTTCTGTGGTTTCGGTTGTATCCGACTCTCCATGACCCCATTTGGGGTTTTCTTGGCAAAGAAAATAGAGTGGTTTGCCATTTCCTTCACCAGTTCATTTGACAGATGAGGAAGCTGAGGCAAACAGGGTTAGGTGACTTGCCCAGGGTCACACAGCTAGTAAGCGTCTGAGGCTAGATTTGAACTCTGGAAACTGAGTTATTCTGACTCCAAACCTGGTCTCTCAGGGGGTTCACAGCTGTTCTTCAGTCAATCATTAGCAGACAATTCCAGTGACTGGCAGACCAGCACAAGGACCTCACCCATTCTCTCCACGAGGCCCATGTCATTCAGTAAGGGGCCAAATTCACGAATTTGCTCCATGGGAGGTACCCACCTTTTGACAGAGGTCTGTATCGCATGATCTTATCAAGTGAATTGGAAGGGACCAGAATGACCAGATATTCTCCTGATCAACTCCCCTCCGACCCCCAAACACACACACACACACACACACACACACACACACACACACATAAATACACACACACGTAATAATATCTTACAATTCTATGGCACTTTAAAAATTTTAAAGGAAGGAGACAGAGCATGAAGCATGAGGTTGAAGGCTGGATGCTGCCAGCAGCCCCCCATGATCACTGCAGCTATGCATTGCTCACCACCACCCTCCGAAGCAAGCCTCTGGTGCCATGGCTGTCAGCCTTCTGTCCCTTTCTGACTAAGAACCATCCCTCCCACCATACCTTAGGCCAGGTCCTCAAGTGCAGCCCTTTGACTGAATCCAAACTTCACAGAACGAATCCCCTTAATAAAAAGATTTGTTCTGTAAAACTTGGACTTGGCAAAAAGGCCACACCCAAGGACCTAGAAGGCCACATGTGGCCTCTAGGCCACAGGTTCCTCAACCCTGCAGTAGGTGTTCATCTGGACAGAAAGCCCCTAAAACCCTCCCATCTTCTAATCCTTCACCTCAGCAACCTACTGATGGGCAAAAAGATATTTAACCACTCTATTTTCTTTGCCAAGAAAACCCCAAATGGGGTCATGGAGAGTCGGATACAACCGAAACCACAGAACAACAACAGTAAGGCACTTAAATATCCCTGTTTTGCTGTTCATATATGCAAAATTAGCGAGAAGTTATCTTTGGAATAGGTTTTCTTCCAAAATCTGAAGATGTTTTTAACCCTAATGGCTTGGAGACTGAAGAGCCTCAGGGAAGAAACCTGGAAAGCAAAAAGTGGAAGAGGATTCTGGGAAGATGGTGGAGTAGGTCAGAGAACTCTTCAAACTTCCTCCACAAAAAAAAAGAATATCGCCTCAGAGTAGCAAAAATAAACACCTGGTAAAGTAGTTGTCCTCCTAAGACAATTTGAGAACCTGACTTCCGGGGAGGAGGTTTGGCCTGAGTAAAGTGCAAATACCTCCAAGAAGACCAGGCAGAAACAAGTCCTGGGGGCTGCTGGAGTTGGGAGGCAGCCTCTGCATTAAAAACTTTCTCTGGCAGGGTCTGATAGCTGAGTATGAGAAGACTCAAGGGCCTTGCATTGTAGAGAGAGGCCAAGCACGGCTGTGCTGCCCAGACAGTTCCAAGGCTATGGCTGTGGGGAGGTGCAGTAGCAAGGGGCAGGGACCCTGCTGGCTGGGGGCACTTGCAGGAGAACAGAGTCCTTGGTTTCAGTGCCGGGGCAAAGAGGACAGCTGTAGTTTGCAGCCATCCAAGAACCTGTAGGGAACAAGATCATTGGAGAGACAGCATGGCTAGGGGCCCTAGCTATGGCTTAGGAGTGGAAAGGAGGGCCCAACGTTGGCCTCTGAGACAGACCTCAGAAAATAACAGTACGAAAGACCTGAGGCTTGGGGCATCAGTCCCCATACCTCAGGACTACAACTTGATTGCACTAATAGCTGCTAAAAAAAAAATATAAAACAAACAAATAGATAAATAAAATGAGTAAGCAAAGGAGAAAGAACCCAACCATACATAGTTACTATGGGGATAGAGAAGATCAGGGTTCATATTCAGAGGAAGATAATTGAGCTAAAAAAGCCAGTCCTTTCTCAATGAGAAACATCAAATGGTCCCAAGCACAAAAAGAGTTCTTGGAAGAACTTAAAAAGGACTTTAAAAATCAAGTAACAGAGACTGAAGAAAAATTGGAAAAAAAAATAAAAGCAATCCAAGAAAATTATGACAAGAAAGTCAACCAATCAGAAATAGAGAATCAAAAACTTAAGGAAGAAAATAATTCCTTGAAAACTAGAATTGGGCAAGGGGAAGTTAATGATGTTCTAAGACAACAAGAAATCATAAAACAAAACCAAAAGAATGAAAACATGGAACAGAAAGTGAAACATCTCATTAGAAAAGCAACTGATCTGGAGAACAGATTGAGGAGAAATAATATAATAGACTACCTGAAATTATGATTAAAAAAAGAATCTTGACTCCATATTATAAGAAGTTGTCAAGGAAAATTGCCCAGAAGTTCTAGAACAAGAAGGCAAAGTAGATATGGAAAAAAATCCACCAATCACCACCTGAAAGAGATCCCAAGGAGAAAACTTAAAGGAATATCATAAGCCAAGTTTCAAAGCTCCTAGGTTAAATGGAAAATATTGGAAGCAATAAGAAAAAAGCAATTTAAATATCATGGAACTACAATAAGGATTACACAAGACCTAACAGCTACTACATTGAAGGGCAGGAGGTCTTGGAATACTGTATTCCATAGAGCAAAAGAGCTGGGGTTACGACACAGGGTAACTTACCCAGCAAAGTTAAGTATAATCCTGAATGGGGGAAAAAATGAATACTTAATAAACTCAAAGACTTTCAGGTTTTTGTGAAAAAACTCCAGAACTTAAGAGAAAATTCGACATATAACATCCAGGAGAAATATAAAGTAAGTGTTAAAGACCAATTATAAGGGACTCAGTAAGATCAAATGTTTACTTTGTATATGTGAAAATATTAGCAGTAGTCTTATGATTGTCATCATTATTTGAGTAGTTTGAAAGAAAGGAGTGGGCTGAGCTGAGTACGATGGGGTGATTCTAAAAAACAATAAAACTGAAGGGAGATAAAAAGGAGTAATTATCTCATATAAATGAGGCATAAAAGGAAAAAATGATACAGAAGAAGCTAGTAGAGGGAGGATAGGCAGTGCTAAAACCTTACTCTCATCAGGAATGGGTTAAAGAGGGTGTATACATATTACACACATATATATACATACACATATACACACACATATGTATGTACGAATGCATGTATGTATAAAGGTCTTTTAAATTCAGAAAGAAATAAGAGGGCAAGAGGATAGGGTTGGGGGAGAGGAGAAGAGATAACCCCTCTTAGAAGGATGAGTAGGTTAAGGAATAGGAGAGCAAGGTAGCAGGTAGAAATAAAGCAGAGGAGTGAGAAGGGATAGAGTAAATAGGGTGAGAAGGATAGTGAGGAAGAATAGGAGGGAGGAAAAGACACAATAAGTAAATTGAGCTTAGAATGTGAATGGGACAAACTTATCCATAAAATGGAAACAGCAGATTAAAAATTTGAATTCAACAACATTTTGCTTCCAGGAAACATTATAAAAATGAGAGACATACACAAATTTAAAATAAAGGGCAGGAGTAGAATTTAATACGTTAAAAAAAAAAGCAGGGATAATAATCATGA